AATATCTGGTCTGGGACGTTTTCCTTTAAATGGGCCTCAATATTCACACCCTACGCCGGATTATATTTACAAACTGTTATAGAAAGTTACATTATTTTACACCCATCGAAAACTTTTTATAAATATTTACGTATGGGATCTCAAAACCCTCCAATTTACACCCTTGACTGATTCGTCGCCAACATAATACTATCTTCCTTGTAACTTGGTTAAACTTTTTCCGAATGTTTCATTGAGATCAGTTGATCCGTTTTCGAAATATGTGGTCTGGGACGTTTTCCTTTAAATGGTCCGCAGATCTATCCCCTACGCTGGATCGTCACAAAAATTGAATCATTTCGGTACTAGACCATTACAAAATAACATAGAATGTTTCATTTGGACCCATTGGTTTTTTTTTTTGGTTTTTTTTTTAGAAATATGTAGGTCTGGGTCCTAAAAAATTGAAAAGGCATGATATATGGCGTGTGCTTCAGTAAAGTACGGAAAAATTCTAAGCAAGGGAAGTGACGACCGAAAAAAAAAAAACAGTGCAAAAAATAGGAAAAATAATGCATAAAAAAAGAGAAAAAAAATCTCAGAACAAAAACAATGGCTTTTCCCAGTACTGCTGGGAAAAGCCAACAAAAATATTAATAATAATGATAATAATAATAATAATAATTAGAATAATTCTAATTATAATAATAGGCCTAATAATAGTCCTCATAATAAGCCTAATAATAATAATAATAACGATAATAATAATAATTAATAGGCCTAACAATAATAATAATAATAATTATTATTATTATTATTATTATTATTACTATTATTATTAATGACATATCAAACAAATTAAATAGTATACGCCTACGTGTATATATCGACACAATAATCTTTATTAGAATTTTGTCTAAGCTTTAGAAACTTTATCGAGTACGGTATGTCTTTATTTTACAGGTGGTGATGCAGTAGCTAATGGCAGCATTGATTGTAAATTGAACCACAATAAAGATGACCCGAATTTGAGCTCACACTCTTGTACACGATATGGACGATTAACTGAACCTCTTCAACACAGTGACAAGTAAGAATCTATTTACATATGGGTGGCGCCAGCAAGAGGGGTGGGCTGGCGGTGGATAGGGAGAGAAAAAAGCAATAATGTTAGGAAGAAAAATATATATGTGCGCATGCTTTTTACACCTTTGTAGAATATAAAGTATATTAATTTAGCATTTGTAACTCTTAAACTGCCATAGTTTTCAAGGGCTTCGCCCCCACTTTCACTGAAGTTTAAGTGACACCCGAACACTACACCCATTTACTTCCGCTCTCGTGTTGCAGTAATGCTTTTCTTAATGGGTTCGAACTTTTTTTCGCACTTGCAGATTCCTCTTCTTTAACTTTAAAAATGTATATATACCCTGTACTAGTAATTAAAGCATTACCGAAAGACGGTTTGGAGTTTATCTCTATTATATCATGATTTATTTACAAAAAAAAAAATATCTATATCTCTTTGGAGATTCCTTTTCTATCAAATCTGATTAGGCCTATATATATATATATATATATATATATATATATATACAATATATATATAGGCCCTATATATACTGTATATATAT